GTCAGAAGTCAAAGGGGGAGCCTGTGAAGTCGTCATATCACAATAGGGATCCTCATGGCCAGCAGTATAATCCAATCATTTGCCATTACTGTCAGAAACCGGGGCACAAGAAGAAGGATTGCCGAAAGCTTCAAAATAGAAATCAGGGCAATCGGTCTGCCAATATGGTGTCTTCTGATACTCATGGTGAGAAAACGGTTGTATTCTCTGCAGATGAGTATGCTAAGTTCCTGAAGTACCAAGAATCCTCATCATCTCCCTCAACTGTAGCGGCTGCCACCTCAGGTAATCCCAACACTTGCCTCGTCTCTTCAGCTTCCAAATGGGTTATTAATTCGGGAGCCACGGATCATATGACAGGTAACTCTAGCCTCCTATCTACCTTTCAATCTTCTCCTTCAACTTCCCATGTCACTCTAGCTGATGGATCCACTTCTAGGGTGCTTGGGATTGGCACTGCTAATCCGACTCCTGATCTCCCGTTATCCTCGGTCTTGAGCCTTCCCAACTTGTCTTTTAATTTGATCTCTGTTAGTCAAATCACTAATGCTCTAAATTCTTCCATAACCTTTTTTCCCACTCACTGCATGTTCCAGGATCTTACGACGAAGCAGATTATTGGTAAAGGGCATGAGTCTGGTGGCCTCTATATTCTTGATTCCAGTATACCGAGAACTATTGCCTGCTTTGGGATGGGTACTCCGTTGGAAGTCCGTTGTCGTTTAGGGCACCCATCCTTACCATTGTTGAAAAAGATGTGTCCGCAATTTAGTAAGGTGTCCTCTTTAAATTGTGAGTCTTGTTAATTTGCTAAACATCATCGAGTTAGTTTAAGTCCTAGAGTCAATAAACGAGCACGTGCTCCTTTTGAGTTAGTTCATTCTGATGTTTGGGGTCCATGTCGTGTTATGTCCAAAACCGGGTTTCGGTACTTTGTTACTTTCGTTGATGACTTCTCTCGCATGACTTGGTTATATTTTATGAGAAGTCGTTCTGAATTATTTTCCCATTTTCGTGCTTTTTGTGCTGAGATACAAACACAATTTAATATACATGTTCGTGTATTGAGAAGTGACAATGCTAAAGAGTATTTTTCTGAACCCTTTTCCTCTTATATGCTTGAACATGGAATTTTACATCAATCTTCCTGTGTTGACACCCCATCTCAAAATGGGGTTGCTGAACGCAAAAACAGGCACTTACTAGAAACTGCTCGAGCTCTCCTGTTCCAAATGTGGGTTCCAAAACATTTTTGGGCTGATGCAGTCTCTACTGCTTGTTTTTTGATCAACTGTATGTTGTCTTCGGTCTTACATGGTACAACACCCTATCAGTGTCTTTTCCCTCACAAATCTGTATTTCCTATTCCACCAAAAACATTTGGATGTACTTGCTTTGTGAGAGATGTAAGGCCCTATATCACGAAATTAAATCCTAAATCTTTAAAGTGCATTTTTTTGGGATATTCTCGTGTTCAAAAGGGGTATAGGTGTTATTGTCCGTCAACGGGAAGATATCTCGTGTCTATTGATGTAACCTTCCATGAAGATGTTTCCTTCTCACCTTCTTCAAATTCAGAAAGCCATGGCGACAGTGATGATGATATTCTCATCTATACGGTTACCACCGCTTCCGCTTCTATTCCACCTTCCCGACCACCAATCACTCAGGTATATTCTCGTAAACACCAGTTTGTTCCAAAAGAGGTTAACCCGAATCCCGACACTACTTTGGTTCCTGACAATACGCCAGATTCATGTCCTGAGCCGGATTCTTCGTCGTCTGATCCAACTACCTTGCCAATAGCCCTACGCAAAGGTAAAAGAACTTGTACTTATCCTGTCTCATCGTTTGTTTCTTACAACCACTTACCCCATATCTCCTGCTCTTTTATTGCTTCTCTTGACTCTATACAAATTCCTAAAACTGTCAAACAAGCACTGTCCCATTCTGGTTGGCGTAACGCTATGATTGAGGAGATGAATGCCTTGGATTTCAATGGCACGTGGAACTTGGTAGATTTACCTGTAGGGAAGAAGGCCATTGGGTGCAAGTGGGTATTCGTGGTGAAGGTTAACCCTGATGGATCTGTAGCTCGGTTGAAGGCTCGTCTAGTTGCTAAGGGGTATGCACAAACTTATGGTATTGATTACTCTGACACATTTTCTCCTGTTGCAAAATTGACCTCTGTCAGATTGCTTATTTCTATGGCTGCTACATTTAATTGGTCTTTACATCAACTGGACATTAAAAATGCTTTTCTACATGGTGAGCTTCAATAAGAAGTCTACATGGAGCAACCACCTGGGTTTGTTGCTCAGGGGGAGTATGGTAAGGTTTGTCGACTTCGCAAATCTTTGTATGGCCTTAAACAAAGCCCTCGTGCATGGTTTGGGAAATTCAGTCAAGCGATTGAGAGGTTTGGCATGATAAAAGAAAGTCTGATCATTCTGTCTTCTATAAACGCTCTGAGAAAGGCATTATTTTATTAGTTGTCTATGTGGATGACATTGTCATCACTGGAAGTGACACCGCTGGTATTGTATCTCTTAAGACCTTTCTTCATAGTCAATTTCAGACTAAAGATCTTGGTACATTAAAATATTTTCTAGGTGTTGAGGTAATACGGAGTAAGAAAGGTATACTTCTCTCCCAGAGAAAATATATACTTGATATATTGACAGAAACAGGGAAACTAGGAGCTAAGCCATGCAATACTCCAATGATCCCTAGTTCACAGTTGACATCAGAGGGGGTGCTATTTGATGATCCAGAAAGATATAGAAGATTGGTTGGTAAGCTAAATTATCTGACTGTAACTCGTCCTGATATTGCTTACTCAATAAGTATTGTAAGTCAATTTATGGCATCTCCAACTATTGATCATTGGAAAGCTGTTGAACAAATCCTGAACTACTTGAAAGGTGCTCCAGGACGTGGAATTGTATATCAAAACCATGGACAATGAACATTGAGTGCTTTGCAGATGCAGACTATGCAGGGTCTAAGGAGAATTGGAGGTCTACAACCGGATTTTGTGTCTTCTTTGGTGGAAACTTGATCTCGTGGAAGAGCAAGAAGCAAAATGTTGTCTCACGATCGAGTGCAGAGTCAGAGTATAGAGCAATGGCACAGGCAACCTGTGAAATATTGTGGATATATCACATTCTCGATGAAATGGGCTCAAGGCCTCTATTCCTGCGAAGCTATGGTGCGACAATCAAGCGGCTCTCCATATTGCAGCCAATCTTGTTTTCCATGAACGAACCAAGCACATTGAAGTTGATTGTCATTTCATTCGTGAAAAGATACAACGAGGCTTAATTTCTACTGGATTTGTGAAAACAGGAGAACAGCTAGGAGATCTTTTTACAAAAGCTATGAATGGGCATCGAATAGATTACTTATGTAACAAGTTGGGCATTATCAATATCTATGCTCCAACTTGAGGGGGAGTGTTAGACATTATATGGTAGAAGAATATTTGATATGATCTCAGTATAATATCTTAGGGATAGTGTGTATAATATCTTAGGGATATTATTGATCCTTACCATAGTTAGTGTGCATAGCCTAGTATAAATATGTGTATCCTCTTGACTCAATTGTATGGAATACAGAGATTAGAACATAAACCTTTAAAAAATAACATTCAGTATATTAAAAATAAATCTTATGTCAATCATCCTCAATATATTGATTGTTTGTTCATGGGGACGAGTGTCCTAGCTAGGACCAATCCTCTACAAGAGAAATCCCTAAGCTTAGGTCTTTTTTGTCTCAAGTCGGTTTCGAGCTAGTTTAATCTTAAACTAATATCTAGCTCCCCAGTTGATATGATCAAAACATTTCAATTTAAGAATATATATAGAGGAGGAATAAAAGACATTAAAAATATGAAATTAAACAATATGCATGAAGTGGCAACTTTAGTCCTTAGAGAATTATTTTTTGCCACCAATTTGTCACTTAATAAATTAAAGTGGTTGATTTGGTCCTTCAAGGACTAAAATTGTCACTTCATGCATAACTTAAGAGTTAAAGAATAAAGATGATCACACATATAACTCATGGACTAAGTTTGCACTACGGATATAACTAAAGAACCAAAAATTCAATTTTCCCCAATTGAATTGTAAACCCAAATTCCATAAATCAAAATCAAAATCAAAATCAAATACACATACATGATAGGGATGATGAAAATATTTGAGTAAGTCAATATATAACTAATAGATTATTATATATAATTATATGGAATATAGGGAGCTAAAGACAAATTTATCACCGCTCTCCCGCCAGAGCTAAGCATTAGAAGGTGACAGCTCTTCCTTCTCTTCTCTATTATCAGTGAAATTTATCCCCGTGCCGCGAATCTTGAATAAATATTGATATGGATGAAGACAAAAATGGCCGTCTAATGAAACAGCCATGGCTGTCAAAAAAAAAAAATCAAATTTTTTGAATTTTTTTTGATGGCCATGGCTGTCTCAGACAGCCATGGCCATCATTTTTGACAGCATCGTTGTCAAAAAAATTCAAAATTTTTGAATTTTTTTTACACGGCCATGGCTATCTCAGATAGCCATGGCCATCTTTTAGGACAGCTATGGCTGCCGGGTAGCCACGGTCATCATTTTTGACAGCCGTGGTTGTCGCCGGATAGCCATGGCTGTCCTTGAATGAGTACAGCCACTTTACTGCCGGTGGTGGTATGAAGAGTTAAAAATAATAATAATAATAATAATAATAATTAAAAAGAGACACATGTCACCATTAGAAGACACATGTCACCATTAGAAGACACTAACCTGCTAAACAGGTAACTTTGGACCTAATTGAACTTTTTTACAGATTTAGGGGATTGAAATGGAGTTTTTTTTACTTAGAGGACTCAATTACACTATCCGCTTGACTTAAGGGGCCAATTTGACACTTTTTCCTATATATATACCTCTTTACTGTTCCCGCTATATTGGCCAAAGCATCTAGCTCTCCGATCAGCAATTCAAAAGCATAGCAAATCACATTAGTCGATCTCGTTTAAGTTCGACTTCTGCCATGGATTTCCGAATCCTCACCAGGAGAGAGCTCCAAGCTCTATGCAAGAAGAACAAAATTCATGCGAACATCACCAACGTTAGTTGCGATGGCGCTTGATCTCGTAAGATTTGCATCTAACACTCCAACTTAATATCATCGATTTGTATAGTTTGATATTTTTCCATATTTTGTGATGTAGATTTTTTGAACGACTGATATGAATATTATCGATTTTGATATTTTCTTGTGCGGATTTTTTATACTCATCTGAAACTAACATGAAATGATAAATGAATGAAGTTAGGATTAGTTTGTGTATCGATCAACATTTAAAATTGAGCTTGTGATGAAAGCTTTCTAGTACAATAACCTAGAGAGAGTTTTCAGCTTAGCTTGTTGATAATCGATTAATCCTTCTGTGGTTTTGTTTCAAAAGCTGTCTTACTCATTATGTGCCTATTCCAGGTGGAAGCTAAGGTATTGAAGATTTCCTGAAACTGCAATTTCATCGGTTGCAAGTCAGTCAGATATATCTCTTTTCTAATACTTAGTACTCACTTGATCTCCGAATTTTTGGTGTGATAGATAATGCAGTGCAGGTATTGACTTGAAAACAGCATCTGATGAGGGGTTCATTTGAATTTGAGAATCTAAACCTGGCCTGTTAAACAACGAATTGAACTGAACTGAAAGTTGATATGCCTAAAAGCTCTGAATTGAAGAACTAGCTAGCTACCAGTGACAACTCTGATCTAACGCAATCATTGAAAATAATGTTCGTCTATTTATTGTTTTGATTTCTTCCCTTTGTTATTTACTAAGTGCTACTGCTTCTTGGAAGTTTGTTCACATACGTGATGGGTTTTCCTGTTTGTATGATATGGTTGCAGTTGACATGCTACTGTCTAAAAAACTGGGAGGGAGAAGGGGAAGAGTTGAATGATGACAAAGCTAAGGAACTTGATAGCTCATTGGATATATGTTGAACCTGCCAATTTTGTGTTGGCTGAGAATTCCACAAATAATGGTAGGTTTATCTGATGGCCGGCAAGGAATCACATAGTGATGAATGTTTGAATCTGCCTGCAGATTCATGTGATGTTGAAGTAGGTTTGCAAGATCCACATGCCCATGTTACTCCAAAATCCTCTTCAGGGTTAGATCAGGAGGTTGCTAACAGTGACATGGCGCCTAGCGTGTTTTGCAACATTGCTTTAATCAGATAGCAGGGGAGGATTCTTCGACACCTTCAGCCCGGTGGTCAAGCCCACCACAGTTCGCCTATTGCTTTCTTTGGCGTTGTCTCGTGGATGGTCTCTTTGGCAGCTGGATGTTCACAACGCTTTCCTAAATGGGCATTTAGCTGAGCTGGTTTACCTGAAGCAGCCACCTGGCTATGTTGACCCTAGTTACCCAGATCACGTTTGTTTGTTGTAGCGGTCTCTTTATGGTTTGAAGCAGGCTCCGCGGGCTTGGTTCAAGCGCCTACATGATTTTCTTCTCTTTGTGGGGTTCAAGGCCTCTAAGACTGATGTATCGTTATTTTACTATTTTGTTGCAGGGGCACAAGTGTTTTTGCTTGTCTATGTTGTCGATATTCTGCTCATGGGCAGTGATTCAACTCTATTGTTTGATTTGTTGAAGCGTCTTGCAACAACCTTCAAGATTCGAGATCTCGGGACATCGAGTTTCTTTCTCGGAATTGAGACGGTTCCGCTAGATGGGGGCTTTATTCTTTCTCAACGCAAGTACATGGTGGATATTCTTAAGCGGGCTGGTATGGAGGTTTGTAAGCCTCTTGTTACGCCTGTTACGGCGGCCTGTTCTGGTGAGTCTTCTGATGATCCGTTTGACAATCCTACTCAATATAGGCGTTTGGCGGGTGCCCTCCAGTATTTGACTGTTACGCGCCTCGACTTGTCTTATGCCGTTAACTGCCTTTATCAGCATATGCACTCTCCCACTGTGGCGCACCCGCACTGGGTGCTTCTTAAGATGGTTTTGCAGTATGTTAAAGGCACTACTTAGTTTGGGCTGCGTCTTTGAGCTTCACCGTTGATGTCGTTGCATGCTTATTCCGATTCGGACTGGGCTAGTGATTTGGTGGATCGCAAGTCCACTTGTGGCTTTGCGGTCTATCTTGGTTGTAATCTGGTTTCGTGGGTCGCAAGCAACGCACAGTTGCTCGTTCGTCTACTAAGGCAAAATATAAAGGTCTGGCTAATGTTGCTGCTGAAGTTACTTGGGTTGTATCCCTTCTGAATGAGATTGGCTTACCCTTGCCTGGTCCTCTGTCGCTGTGGTGTGATAACTTGGGTGCGACCTACCTCTGTGCCAACCCGGTCTTTCATGCTAGCACGAAGCATGTTGAGGTCAATTATCATTTTGTCCGTGACAAGGTAGCCTCGGGTAATCTCCAGGTTCATTTTGTGTCTACGCAGGATCAAATTGTTGACATCTTCAGTAAACCGTTGTCTGCTAAGCGGTTTGAGTCGTTGTGTGAAAGCTTGCAGAGGCGTAATAGGACTCCTGTAGTTCAGTATCACTAGGACTCTATCTGTCCGTTAGAACCTCTGTATTTGTATATACTTCTACGGCATTACTATTATTGAATACAATCCATTCACTCATCCTCTTGATACAAGAATAGAACCGGATGTATAAAAGACGGCGTACAATAATGTTAAAAGGACACAAGAGAAGAGAATATAGCATTCTTTTAATGTTCTGAAGAGCCTGCTACAAAGTCTATCTATGACAACCATATCCCAACAACAACAAAAAACCAACTATGAAAGGGCAAACAATCCCCACAATTCAGATATAGAAGCTACTCAAGAACAAAATTTTGCATCCCCAAGCAAATACTAACTTCAAGAGGACAAGTTGCTGTATGAAATTTGATATAGCATGAAGAAAATGGAAAATTTCAGTTGTGCTTCTGCAGAAATCACTTAGTACTCTGCTCTGATTCTTGACAAGGAGCCAATTAGTTTGTAAAGTTGACCAAACCCTGCAGAATTTTGAGTGAAAAGATTAAGAAAACAAAACGATGTTTATTGAAAAGACTTTCCATTGAAATATGGAACAAAGATATAGGTCTTGTTTAGTAAAGAGCAACTTTACGATTCACAAATACAGATAAAAATGGGTTAGATCAATGACCAGCAAGATCATAGCTTTAAATCCTTTAATCATTTCCTTAGAGTTTAACATATTATTTTATTTTTTAGCACAAGAGAAGAGAGAGACACCAGTTCAATCTTCATTACCTAGTGAACAACCATCAAGGTTCAATTTATAGTAATGCAGATTTAAGTTTAAAGCCAGTAACAACATCTAAAGAGACTAAAGCTATGGACATTAACTTTTGAGAATAAGTGCTTACCTTCACAATGAATTAGTTTCGCCAAAATGCTACTTCTTCTTATTGAACCCAAATGCCAAAAGCCTGCGGTGAGATGGCTTAAGTTCAGCTAGACGCATCTTTCTCCTTTTTTTCCTTGATAGAGTGCTTGTATCGCCATTTGATCCCTCCAAATGTGGTTTCTCATTTTCCGTATAATTTGCCACTATTGTAGTTTCCTGATCTCTTGGCCTCTTTTTCTCATTCTTCCTGTTGTCTAGTGTCTTCCCCTGAATTAATTCTTTAATTTTCTGCTTTTGCTGGTGTCTCTTAGCTCGGGGCACCTTCCAATCCTTGTCTCGATATGCTGCCAACGTCTTTAGAGGTACATATTGATTCAACTCCTTGTCATCCAACATTAACATCTCCTCAGTACTCAAGCCGAATCTTTTAGCATTGACAGGTTTATACTTAAACCTAGTCTTTAAGTCACCTATCACATCCTCGTAATCCAACTTATAATATTCCTCCATTAATTGATCCTTAACTGCCTGCATGACAACACTAGTCTTCCTTCGCTTCTTTTTCCGCTTACCTTCTTTGGACACCCCATCTTCTTCATCTACTTGATCATCTACTGTTTCGTGCTCTTCGCCTGTATTTTCCTGGCTTTTCAAAATTCTTTCCCTAATTGATAAAAACCCATCACGTGGCTGATTCGTCTCATCCCATCCCTTTGGAAGCCCAAGTAACTCATCCTCCTTGTCAAAATCAGGCTTTTCAAGATCACCTTCATCTGCATCCTCATCACTATCACTCCCAAAGTCAGGGTTCACATCTTCTGCCTCATAGTAAGCCTCTCCAAATGCATTCTTCATCTTCTTATCATACTCCTCTGGATTGAATTCCTCTTCCAAATCATCCTCATCTAACAAGCAATCCCCATCCTCTCCAATCCCTGCAATCTCCTTAATCTTCTGAAGCTTCTCCCTCATCTCCTTCTTCTTCAAATTCTTCAGTCGCTTCAACTCCTCCTTCCTCTCCTCCTCTTCCCTTGCCATCCTCTCTTCCTTCCTCTCCCTCTGCAATTTCCTTGCATTGGTTTTCTTCCTTACCGAACCCTCTACTTTCCTTGCGTGTCCCAATACCCTATCACCAGCATTCTCTTCAAACCTGAAATTGAAATCCCTCTCAAAATCCTCCTGCTTCTCAATCTCCTCCTCATCCTCTGACAATTTAAATCCCTCGTGATCTTCCTTGCCACCCTTCTCATCACTATTCATCCACATTTCATTCCTGAAATAATCTTTCAGAAACCGGTCATTCTCATCTAACTTATCATCCTCCCCAAAATACTCATCCAACTTCTTGGAGAACTCCCCATCGTCGCCGTCGTCATCCTCAACATCCTGATCACCTCTCTCTTTTACCTTAAAGAAGTCCTCTCCATCCTGCTCATTATCCATCTCCATGTTCTCTACTGCATCCAGGAACTCCTTCCTCAGCTCCTCTTGCTCCTCTGAGTATGTCGTCACCTTCTTCTTATCCTTACCCTCTTCATCTTCATCTTCGAACTCCGGCCCCTCCTCTACCAAATGCTTAAACACTACATCTTTCAAATACATTGGCTTCTTCTTAGCCTTTTCTTTCTTCTTATCATCAGCCTCAGAATCAGGCTCGGACTCAGATTCAGACTCAAATAATTTAGCATCTTTGTTTTGCAAAATGGGGTCTTTGTTTCTGATCTTAATTAGAGCATTAAAGAACTCTGCGTCTTTTTCACTAATTGGCTTACCAAAGTCTTCGTCGTCATCATCATCTTCTGACTCCTCTGAGTCATCTTCGTCGACAAGACCCTTCTTCTTCAATTCCTCGAATCTCTGCAGGTCTTCTCTCTTCTTGTTGTGCTCGAATCGGCAAGCAAACTCCTTGTTTATCTCGATTTTGTTCAGCTTCTCTACATCATCGTCGTCGCCTTCAAATAACTTCATACCTGTATGGCTGTATCGTTTCAGGTCACTGGCAATGTCTGCAGCCACTACCCTAATTTCAAATTTCAGAAAAAGGTTAAACATTTGAACTTTTTTGTGATAAAAGCATACAATTTCTTCCTTACACCAAAAGGAGTTAATATTGCCTTAATTAGGGGTGAGCAAACGGTAAGTCTGGCTAAAACGCATTGAAAATTTTTACCATCATAACAGACCGAAATCGACCCAAGTAAATGCTACAACCTTGGTTACAGAAAAATTATACTAGTTAAACACTTAAACATACCATGATACACACCCCGTTTGAAAATTTACACACTTGATACTCCAGAATCAATTTTCTCAAACAGAGTGATACAAACACAGTGTCTCCATTCGTTATTTCTCAAAAGTTTACAATATATATATATATATATATATATATATATATATATATATTAATGAACAATTAAAGAAAACTTAAAAATTTCAAACACAATACCGCACTGTCCAGACTCCAGAATTAATTTTCAAACACTAACAACAAGAGTCCAGTGAACAAGATACGATTTTGTATGAAATATGTAAAAATTCAATGTATGAAATCCACAAAGTCGCAGCGTATAATGTATGAAATCCCTTTTAGTTTTAATATTTAAAAAATAAAATTTTACTTTGTGACTCAGTGAACTGATATTTTGCTCACCCCTAGCCTTAATCGTAGTTCAAAACAAGGAGAAGCATCTGATGCTTCGGTTATCATGTATTTTAACAATAAATGTGGGTATGCATTGGACTTTCTTATCTGGCCTAATTACTTTTGTTTGTTTTGTTACTTGCACATGTAACTGTTGTTCTTAACATTTTAATTATAATGCTATTATTTCACTTTTATTAATTCAAAGTAGTTGATTGGATTACTATGTTAGACATGTTTTTAATTTTAATGCTATTATTTCAGTTTTATTAATTCAAAGCATGTGATTACATTACTATGTTAGACATGTTTTTAATTCTAATGCTATTATTTCACTGCTATTAATTCAAATCAGTTGATTAGATTACTATGTTAGAGATTAAAACTTTTTGGCCTTGGTTTTTACCCTCTAGGCAACTCCTTGTTCTACCTTAAGTACTAAAAAAGATTCAAGATAGCAGCAGCAATATAGTTTCCTCCTAAAAATTTGCAACTCTCCCTCTCTTTTCTTCTTTTCTTGGGGAAAAGAGAATGGTATGTAACACACAAATCAATCCACGAGTATAAAATTTTGTGTCTTTAAACAAATTCTAATTCTAATTTTTTACTTCCTACTGTGTTTCTACTCCATAGAAATACATTTATCATTTTCCAAATCAAAATTAATATACTGCGTATTTGTTAATTCAATTAACATTATTTTACTTCCTACTGCGTATTTACCAAACAAGGCTAATCATTCATTATTTTAAGCAAAACATTATTTGTTTATGAAATCTTATAATTCAATTGCATCCATGTAATTGAATTTATGTATCTATTTCTGTAAAGAAGGGCAGACAATTATTTATGTATCTATTTATATATGTATCTATTTGACTCTAGAATTAATCAAACAATGTGTTCGGAGAGTAGATGAGGAAATTACCTTTGCAGTTGGAGAGCTTTCGCCGATTCGCCGTGGAGCTTTCGTCGGAGAGTAGAGATGCGGTGGAGCCTTCGTCGGAGAGTAGAGATGCGGTGGAGCCTTCGCCGGAGAGCAGAGACGCCGGCTGTGGGCTGTTGCTGGTCGGAGGGCTGCGATATGCGAGAGAGAAGAATAAGGGCTTAGGGCTGCGCTATTCCAAACCCTTAGGACTTAGGAGAAGAATGAGTAATTAATTAGTTGTGGTTTATGAACTCTAGCTACGGATTAACATTCTCTCGTTATCTCTATATATATTAAACTTCAAATCCATAATCAACATAAACTTCAAAACACACACACACTTCAAATGCCACAAATCCATAATCAACATAAACTTCAAAACAAAAAATGTCACAAATCCACAATAAATATTAAAGTTCAAAACAAAAAATGCCACAAATCAACAATCAACATTAAAGTTCAAAACAAAAAAACAAATCAATGTAAAATAACAACATTTTCTTCTTTTTTGAGTAGATAAGCTATCACTATCAATTGAATCAGTTTCATTCACACTAGACTTTTCTTCTATACCTAAAAATAAAATAAAAATATAGAAATTAAACAATATACTGAAAACATGTAATTTTCAAATATATAAATTCAATGCATATAATAATTCATCATTTAAATTCATAAATGAATAAACATATAGCTGCATAATCAAACAAACCAAATATTTAAATTATATAATAATTGCAATAAACCTATTGCAGTATAAATTATAGTATAACAGTATAAGAAATTTATACTATAACAGTATAAGGTAACAGTATAAATTAACAGTATAAGAAATTGTAATTGAATAAGAAATTGAAAATTGAATATGAAATTGAATTTGTAATTGAATATGAAATTGAATAACAGTATAAATTAACACTACAGCAAATTCTAGAATAAGAAATTGAAATTACTTTGGGAGAAGAAATTGAAATTACTTGCAGAGATTCAGTTCGCAGTCGGAGTCCAACGGACTGGAGGAGTTGCTTCGATGTTCGACGACTTTACTGCTAGTCGGATTCCAACCGGCGGCGATGTCGCGGTTGACCGGTGGACGTCGACGACTTTACTGCTAGTCGGATTCCAACGGGCGGAGATGTCGCGGTTGACCGGTGGACGTCGACGACTTTACTGCTAGTCGGATTCCAACGGGCGGAGATGTCGCGGTTGACCGGTGGACGTCGCAGACGATCGTCACCTCGGTTCTCAAAGTGGGTTCGCCGCAGATGATCGCCGGAGACGTAGACGGCCAGACGTAAACTGGGTTCTCACTTCTCAGTCGCAATTCTCAAACTCTCTGTTCAAAGTCGCGATTCTCAGACGTAGATCGCCCTACAGGGTTACAGACTCCAGTGAATGTGAACATTTGGATATTAAATGGGCCAGCTCAACAATCCAATGAGTTGGCCCAACTCAATCCAATAACCGTATAGGGGCAACCCAATGAGCTTACTTTTTTATTGGATTGATTTTGCGAATTTTAACCCTGCAATTTTTAGGACTTATTGGGCCAGTCCATTAGTCCTGGACTAAATTGAGGGCAAATTATGCCCTGGAAACGTGTTCACCGTGAATGGTGAACACAAGGCCAAACGACGTCGTTTTTAGGCAAAAAAAAAAACAAAAATTGCGGATGTGGAGTTAACGGCGTGCGTTGATCAAATTATGAATTTTCTGTTATGAGATTATGAATGTAATGAAAATTCATAATCTCATAACAGAAAAAATTCATAATCGCATAACATAAAATTCATAATCTCATAATAGAAAATTCATAATCTCATAACTGAAAATTCATAATCTTATAACAGAAAATTCATAATCTCATGGTTCCAAAGTGAATCTGTAGGAATGGTTCCAAAGTGAATGTGCAGGCATGGATTCATAATTTATGAATGTCCGTGATTTCGGACGGGAATGTGTAGGAATGGTTCCAAAGTGAATGTGCAGGCATGAATTCATAATTTATGAATGTCCGAAATAGAAAATTCATAATCTTATAACTGAAAATTCATAATCTTATAACAGAAAATTCATAATCTTATAACAAAAAATTCATAATCTCATGGTTCCAAAGTGAATGTGTAGGCATGGTTCCAAAGTGAATGTGCAGGCATGAATTCATAATTTATGAATGTCCGTGATTTCGGACGGGAATGTGTAGGAATGGTTCCAAAGTGAATGTGCAGGCATGAATTCATAATTTATGAATGTCCGAAATTATTTGATCTCTGAGAGCGATTTGCAGGCCTGTGGTGTTGTTTGATCTCACAACAGATATCACTTGTGGGTCTGTGTGCTCTCCAAACCCTATCAACTTTCTCTCTTCTTCTTGAAGCTCTGGGCATGGTGGATAGTGGTTCACCCTCAAACAACTATCATTCTTCTCATCCTTTATAAGCCTGCTCAGCACATTCCTTGGCTCAATCTTCAGCCCTTCTGCTATTAGTTCCAACACTTGGCAGCTCATCTTCCTCACTGCTCCAACATACTCATGCACAACCTTCCTACATTTATATATTCATGCCCAAATTATATAAACCAATTAAATATTATATGGGGAGTACAACCACTTATGGTGTCTCGATGGGAAGATTATTAGAGCATCACCGATAGTTGTAGTTTTTGAGAAGTTTTTACATGTATGACTAGAAAAGAGAAGATGGGAGAAGAGGAAAAAAAGAAAAGAAAATCTGAAAAAAAAAAACAAAAAATTAAAGATTTATGTGTCGGGTTGGGTTCGACATTTGCGCTTCATGTGAGGCAAACTTCCTTATCTTCTTTTTTAGGTGGAGTCCACCGAGTTGACAGAAACCTTGGTCCTTCAGCAAAGACCAATGTTCCTCTCTCTCCTCTCGCTCTCTCCTCCACTAATGGGGATGTCCATCTCACAATATTCATTATGTTACAATTCAAATAATTTATTCTCTTTGTCTCATTTTGTCTGTCTTGTTTACTATTCATTGATCAAAGCAACTCTTTATTTATTGCTTATTTTCTTTAGTAATTTTAATTATTTTTAAATTTGACTTTTTTTTTTGTGTTTAATATTACTTTTAATGTAGTTTTTAAATATCCTAAATTTAATATTATGAAAAATTGAATTAAAAATAACTTCGTCTCGTTAACGAATCAGACAAAAACAATGGGATGGAAATGAGTATGAATTAAGTTGTGCCCGATATATATGGATACCTTAAGATTTCACATTAAATATGTTTGTATTGATTTTAATTTTTCCTATTGTGAAAAATGGTCGTGAATGAAAAGAAAAAAAAAAAAGGTGACATCATAAAACGAAAGAAAAAATGTTTTCTTTCCATTCTAAAATTATTAGAATTATTACAATGAATATAAGTCTAATTAATGATAAATGTTGAATATAGTATATTTATATTTATATTTATAATATAAGTATGAAAAAAGCAAAAAGTTCTCAATTTGAATTTCTCATCTTCACCCTAAAAAATATTTGACTCACTTGGTGTAAGAAATGAATATTAAAAAGAAAATTGTTGGGTGTTAGTTTGAAGGGTCAAATCTAGCATCATACTCTCTATCATTCATTGTTACGCAAACATAAAGAAATAAAGTTGTTCATGCTGTCTGAATCAAGACCATTACCCAAAAGTTATAATTAATAGCTAAAGACGACATAGCTTTATTTCTCTATACTTGCATAGTAGTCACTATCACATTTTGATGGCATGATGCAATTAAACCTACCAAATAACTTTATTCATATTCAACAATGATTATCACATTTTGATTGGTTTAATTTACTTTATTTTTTAAGCATCAATTATTGGAGGTCGGTTAAATTGCACACATGCATGCTTCAATTGTAAAGAGTTTTTTTTTTTTTTTTTTTTTTTTTTTTTTTGCAAATAATGTAAACTCGACTAATTAGACCCATGGTGAAATATAGAGACATTTATTGATCATTTTTGACTAGTGAAGTGACATTGGCTTCCCCGTGTATGCAAGACACGTAGCCAACATGTCTAGGTCCCGGCATGTGCTCCCTTCAACTCTTTATAAAAGATGTATTATTTAATGTCTTGAGGATGGACTTTTGGGGATAGACTAAAAGAACGCTCAAGTTCAGAAACATCCGATCCACTGTATAACTGCCTAAGTACGTATATTCACACCGTGTATAGTACCCCTATGTATTTATCACATCATTGGTGATCGAATACTAAGTTTACTTTATACAAAGTAAAAATCTTTTTGACTTATCTTTTTTTAGTTGCAGTCTATCGTAATCAAAAGTTCACATTCACTTATTAAAAGATCCCAAAAAAAAAAAAAAAAAAATCAAATAAGTGAGTTTTGAGTGGTCAACACAAACTCAAGCATCTTTCTTGAGTTTAGGCAGAGGAATATAATGGGTGGTTGTGTTAGGCAAGAAAGGAATAATATGAAACCGGCCATCTAATGTTGGTTCATGATGGGCTGATGGAAGTGTTTGATTTTCTTCACCTTGAATTGATATATTGCTTTTCATTTTTCAATACTACTTTTCAACTTGGCTTACTTGTAGATTTACCTTACCTCGAACAACACCATTAGTAAGATTTATTTTTGACTTTTTTGCGATGTTTCTCTCCATCGTTATAATATAAATCATGGTCAACCTTGTAAAATAGACTACTAATATAAGATACATTTTTAATATACTAAAAGTTCATTTAATACATTAAATATTAATTTTTGGATGGTTCATTAATAATGAACTTTCAGTACACAATATAAATTTCTCTTTTTCCTAGAGAAAGGAGAGATGAGAGAAGTAGGCCAAGGCGGGAAGTAGGGTCCTCGACCCCGCTGTCGCCCATGTTCCACGATTTTTAGTTTTATTATTTTATTATTATTATTATTATTATTATTATTATTATTATTATTATTATTATTATATTTTTTGTTGTTATTGTCATCTCCGCCCTTGTGGGGTTGGGACCAAAATTTTCAATCATGTTAGAGTTGAATTTTTACAACCATTATACCATGGACCATGGTCCACTTTACAAAGTAGACTACTAACATAAAATGTTCATTTTTAGTAAATTGAATGTTCATTTGTAATATATTGTACTTTTTAAAAAGTTCATTATTTGTGTGTTGAAAGTTCATTTTTAAGTATACTACCTCTAAATGAACATATATACGTGATCTATAGTATAATTTGCCAAATTTTCATCCCTAGAGAGATTAGAGAAATGGTGGGGTTTTATATGCTCAATAAGGATTCTTTTGTCAGACTTCTTTAAAAAAAAAAAAAGTCACGCGACTAGTGGTTGCTAATTCTGTATTTTTCCTTTTTAATACACTCTAACTTATCAACGACAGAGCATCTGGGAGGGTGTAAATCATGGTAACTCAACCCCCTCACTTTGAGAGGTTACTCCCACACTGCCTCTAGTGAGAGGCGATCCCTGGTCATTCTTTCCAACTTTCACCTATATGACCAGTTGAGCTGTCCATGCGGGCCTATAGAGTACATTCTTATTATGACAAAAGGTTGACTCGCCCACCCTAGACACCCCCACACCCCGACTCGACAATTTAATAGCAAATTTGACTTTTAGTACATTCTTCTATTAATATAAAAAATCTAATGTATGAAATGTTGTCTCATTATACATTTTTTTTATTTGATTGCTACAATATAAATGACAAATATGTAATTTTATCACTTAACTAAAATAGTTTATGGGGGATGTTACATGTTGGGACAAGAGGATTGAATATTTACATGTTTGTCATCATTGTTAAAAGTGGAATCACAGAAATTTAAACAATATATGACTAATTGTTGCAAGCAAATTAAAGTTAATATGTAATGTAGTAAAATTAAAAGAATATGACTAAATATAATAATGTCACAATAATTTAAAAATTAAAAGTAAAATTTTCTTGAAATCATGTTTCCATATAATATAATATAATTTGTAATTTTTCGTGTTGCACTTGTATATATGTTCGGACATTATGCCCCCAGCGCGCGCGCTCACGCGCGCTCACACACACACACGCGCGCACACACACACAC